TGTGATTAATGCCTGGAACCGACCTCTGGTGAGATGATAGAGACATGATTTTACGTCTGTAAATCAGATGTCATGTACATATTTTAGTCAACCACAAGCTATGCTTTTGTTCAACACAAGTAATTTGGTTAAATACAGAGGTAACTGGTTGACATAAAATGGTTTGTATTACGTGTGACAGTTTAAATTACTGTGTCCCCTCCTGGAACTCAGTTCTATGAATTTGTATTCTCTCGTGGCTTCAAAACCAGCTGTTTATCAGCTGGAAAACTGTGCAAGGAAAGTAGAGCTAATGAATGAAGTAGTTTTCTTGCACTCCTGAGATACCCTGTGAGCATCTATAAAATGCCAACGGAAGCTATTGAATGAAACATTAGGAAAAATCCCAAACACAAAACCAAAGTACTTGACTGTAGCAGAGTCAACTGTAGATGTCTGATTTGATGGTAAAAGCAGATTAGCACGAGTGTTACAACAGCCTATTGGAAAATGAAATATAGCTGGAAACCTTTAAGCAGTTTGCATCTCTGTCTTGCAGAGGGAAAAAATAAGCCTGTTACTTCTTGATAGCTGACATAATGCAATGAAGATGAATATGACTCTACCAGTGGAATGACTGGGAAAGGGGAGAGACTGCTTCCTCCATGAACAAGTAGCTGAGCTGAGCTTGTAAAGAGAATTCCCAAAAGTACAGTGACTATAAGAAGATGAAAAAAAGGCAAGTCTGAAGTGTCTGAAGGAAATGCATGATGAGTATGATGGTGCATCCCAGTTTCTCTCTCACAATCTCAGTATCATCTGAGAAACATTCCTTAGGCCTTGACCTTGGTGGAGCAGCATCTGGGCTGAGCTTGTCAGAAACACTGTCTGCTCCCAGGAACTAGAGCTTTCTAATGAGCTCCTGCTTTTTTATCAAACAGCATTGGGAATTTATTTTCCTTGCCTGGAAAACAACCCAACGGAAATAATATTTTCATTATCAAATTTTCAAAGAAAGTTACTGACCCAAATGGCAGTCAGGATGGAAAATTACTCTGACTGAAGTCAACTCTCTTGCAACCCTATATACAGCAGTCCAAAGTGAGACCCTTGGAGCTCTCCTGGACTGCAGCAGCTGCAAACAGCAAAATCCCTCTGAGTGGGGCCTCTAAGAGCCAGCAAACTCTGAAGTTTGCTGAACCTGAAGTTTGCTAAACTCAGGACAGCTGAAGGATGTGGCTGATATCCCCACATGTGAAGGCTCAACCCTTCACCCATTGAGAAGATGCAAAGGCAGGCATGAGTAATTCACTGAATTCAAGGGGAATTTTTCACAGCTATACCTTGTTCTTCATGTCTGTGTACATGCAAGTGTGAATATGCTATAGCAAATGTACTAGGAATGTTGCTCTCTTAGATTCTTAAGTACTTCAGATTTGTAAGCAAGTGAGGCCTATAAGTTACTGTTGTGGTATCATAAATTTTATATGAATCCTTTGTCAAGTTGTTTAACTTAAAGTTATCGATTAAGTGATGTTAGGTGCTGTTAAGGGCTGTTAAGGTTAAGTGCTAAATGCTGTTAAGTGCTCTTAAGATTAAGTGCTGTTGGGCCCTTAGGCAATACCTGTTGGTCAAGTTCAGGCTCAGTTGAGCTCTGGAATAGGAAGGTCTTCCGTATTCCTTTTTATCCTTACCCTTCCTCATCCTTTTCTCACCACCCTCACCCCTCCCTCAGCCTGTACATAGATCATTTTGGGTTTATTTCAGTTTGGATTGATTGATTTTGTATTTTTGTTTGCTGTTTCTCTGTGTGCTTTAACCACCTGGTAAATAATAGAGTGAAAACTTGCCAACAAACTTTGTCATTGTTTTGCTTTTATATTAGACCTGGTTTTGCCAATATTTCTCTTTTGAAGGTGATTCTTTCAGTAATTTTAAAACAGTTATTTGCAACACAGAGGGACAACGAAGAGCCAGGAAAAGGAGGCCTCTTCTGTTTTATCATCTACAGCAACCTTTCCATCTGTTCTCTATTTCAACAGTCTGAGTTTTGATGTGAAGAATCGTAAAATCATTAAATGGTTTGTGTTGTAAGGGACTTTGAAAGATCACCTAGGTTCAGCATCTCATCTTGCACTGGGTCAGCTTGATCAAAGCCCCATCCAACCTGACTTTAAACACTTCCAGTGATGGAGCATTCACAGCTTCTCTGGATAACTTGTTCCAGCATCTCACCATCACTGTAAAATAATTTCTTCTTTATGTCTAATTTAAATTTACCCTTTTTTAGTTTCAAACCCTTGCCTTTTGTCCTGTCACTAAACTCCTAGTAAAAAGCCCATCTCTGTTTTTCAAATAAACCCCCTTTAAGTATGGAAATGCAGTGAGGTCTCCCCAAAATCTTCTTTAGGCTGAATAATCTCAACTTTCTCAGCCTTTCTTCACAGTAGAGGTGGTCCAGCCCCCTGATCACCCTTGCTGCCCTCCTCCTGACCTGTTCCAGCAGTTTCATGTCTTTCTTGTATGTTCTTGTACATCCAAAGCTGGATGCAGCTGGAGGTGGGACCTCACCAGAGCAGAGGTAGAAAAAACCCTCCTCTATCACAACCTGCAGGACACACTTCCTTTGATACAGACCAGGATACTGTTGGCTTTCTGGGCTGCAAGTGTGCTGATTCATTCAGAATTTTTTGTCTACCAGTATCCCCAAGTGCGTCTCCATAGGGCTGCTCTCAATCCTTTTACCTCCAGCCTGTGTTGATGTTGGGGATTGCCCCAACCCAGGTGAGGGACCTTGCTCTTGGCCTTGTTGAACTTCATGGCTGCCAAAGTCAAGAAGATCTTCAGACTCAGCTGGACCAGATGATATATTCTATTTTTTGTTTTCATTATTTTGTTATGCACGCTACCTCTATTCTTATTGGCTGGTGGCTGGGATGGTTCAAGAGTGAAAGCAAGCGATGTGTTGCTGGATAACAGTTTCTGTGCCAAAGCTGAAGTGCTTCTGCTAAAATTGATTGTCACTGACATGAGCCTAATTCTTCACTATTTACCAGAGAGCCAGATACAGACATCAGGAGGGACTGAGAGATGAGCTTAGTGTGCTCTGACAGAAGAGCCAGTGGTAGCAGAACTGGACAAATACCCTGCTCCTCAGAGAGCTGGACACAGAATGATCCCTGCTGCCCAAGATGCCCTCCCTTTTCAGCCTACTGTACTGCTGACTGAGCTTTCCCCATCGTCTTGGTTGTTCCTTGGTCTTGCCAGACCTAGATAAGCCTGAACACAAACTATGTTCTGGTATTTGAGGAATCCTGATCTGTAACTACCTAATGGGCTGTAGCAATTCAAATATTCCTGGGAGATCTGGTCTGAGAAAACAGTGCCGGGACTTCACTGAGAGTAACAAAGACAAAACATATTCATTAGAACTGTGTCAAGTGAGGTCTGTCTACTAACTTTCTCTGGGTGGGATGCCAGAAGGCATTCTTATTATTTGGAGCCAGATCCAAAGTGTAGATCCCAGAGAAGTCCTAATTTCACGTTCAAAACCATGCAAGAATTGTTATGATAAGTAGACCGTGCAAGGAGCATTTGAATTAGTGGGCAGTTCTGCTGTGAAAGAAGTCATTAGCTAAGGTTGAAGTAGTTTGGGGCATATTCATGCTACTGTGCTATAAAGAAAAAGAGTTGACTACATGAATAAGGCTATTTTTTGTCTCTTCTACATCCTGTTCCCAAATACAGTTGATGAGCTAAATATTTAAAGATCAGCTAATAACTTTAATAGAACTGATCTCACCCACAAAACTTCAGTTTCTCTTGCTTTCAGTATGTTTTTTTCTCACAGATCAGACTGAACAATTTTGCTCAAGTTTGTCTTGTCCAATGACATTTCTTGGCTAAAGTTTCCTCTTCTCTGGCAGCAGCAGAACTGTATTTAATGCTTAAACACAGTGTGATGGCAGATTAAAATTGATGGCAGATTCCACCCAACCCATATATGTGCCTCACCCTTACATGGAATAAGTACTGTGATAACGCAAGTTGTGTTTAGGGTCAGTCCATTTTTGGATTTTTGACTTAAAACACTCTGGCATTAGCTGTGTCTTAAAGGTTTGGTGAATAGCCAGAGTCAGAACAGTTTCAACCAACCAGATTTAATCTGTCACTGCATATGCATCAAGGACCTAAAGGTAAATCTGCAGCTTCAGGAAAGTTCTGTTTTAATCTGATTTATTGTCATCTATGAAAACTTGGTATCACTCCCGTTTTTCCAGAAGTAAATTGATGTTCTGTTTTGTTAGCTTCTCACTGTTTGAATTTTTCCATCTAAAATAAACCATACAAATATATATTTTCCTCAAAAAAAAAAAAAAAACCAACAAAAAAACTCTCATCTCACAAATGTCAAGTATTCCTGTTTGTCAAGAATTCTGAGTATTTTTTTTTCTAACATTTTCTTTTGCATTTCCAAATAGCTCTGTAAAAGTTTCCATTATGTGAAATTTCCTGCCTTTGCTGTAGCAGTACCAAACATGTTTGAGATTTCTGGTCCATTTCAGACCTTTTACTGATTTGCATTTATTTCTTTTCTGAACCTGAACCTGTTCAGTTTCCTTACATGTCTGTTATGTCCAGATTTGCCTGCTCTGAAGATCAGTTTGATCAGTTCTCCTTTTAATTTTGTTTTATACAGCAGAATCACACACACTGTTCTTCAGTACTTAAGAAAAACCAGAAATACAATGTGATGTGTTAGTTTATTTTGTAACCTACCCCAGAGTAAAATGCTAACGAAAAGTAAACTCTTCAAAGGCTTTCAAGGTTCATTGAAGAGCTTCGTATTTGAAATTCTATTGACTAGTGTTACCCTTCCCACTGAAGTAGATCATCAAACTGCAAGGCCTTGCCAGGATTCTTTTTCTACTGGAATAAAAATTGCTGATACAAATTGGATATGCTCTTAGTATAGTCTTGTTTATTTGTAAACAATGTACATAAATCCCATTTCTACATAGGCAGAAGCAGCAGACTCTGGTGAGATGTTTCATTGTCTGTAAAAGAGGGTGACTCCAAGGCCTGATCACAGGAAGACCAGCTCTCAGCTTCTCCTCAAGGTCACATCTGTAAGTCTTTCCTCTGCCTTTCTGTTGTTCACATTCACAGCTTGCAGGCTATACCACGTGTCACTGTCAGACACAAAATGATTCACACAGACGCAGCTCAAGTGAGATGAAAGAAGCACATTTATTTGTTCTTTCAGTATTTATAGGTTTTTGACAACAACCAGGGATTGGATAGTGAGGTTACCACCTTCCCAACCACACTGGCCGTGAGAGATGTCCATCAAAATGGATATCTTTAATGGAATGTATAAACACCTATGTTTATAGTTACTTTCCTGGGAAAGTGGCTAGAAATTATGAAAACAATATCAAAAGGCCTGATTCTCAGGGCAACAACCACAGCCTGCCTTTTTCAACCACTTAAACCTTTCTGAATTTATCTTCCTTAGCTCTGTGTATGCATTCCTGTGAAATGCAGGTCTTAACTGACAGTCTGTTGCCCTGATCTTCTCAGGGAGATAGTCAGGAATTTCTGATGCTTTAAATTCAAAACAGCATGGCAAAAACACTGTTTGAACTTATCTTAGGAATTTTATAATCACAAATTAATATTATTCAGAATTTTTCCTTTGTACCCACTGTCTTTTGATAAAACTTAAGTTGGAGATGTCAAACTACCAAAATAATCATTGTACACTTTGGTAAACATCTCAGAAAGGTCAGAAAAATTCAGTCTCTGGCTCTTACATAAATCCAAAAGCTACCAAAAGCTACCACTGGAAAGACAATCTTTTATTCTGATTTTCACTTGCTTTTCTGACTAGCAGTCTTTGATCCTTAGATGAAAAATTAAAGCGTTATAACCCTTCATGAGACAATAGAATAGCTATCAGATCCTAGAAATTTAATCACCAGTGCATCACACCCAAGTAATGAAACATGCACAGTCAGTAAGGCTGTGGTTCAAAACAGAAAACAAACATTAGGAAGAAAAATAACAAGAAAATGTAAGAAGAAATCAGGTATCCACAAAGTTTCACATCATTAAGTAACAGTCATGATTTTTTTAAATTTTACAAGTTATAGGGAAAAATACAAATTGTTCCATAGAAATCTTTATAATTTTTTCCCCAGCTGTCAAGCTATCCCAATCTCAGCTGCAAAAATAGCAACATTCTCAGCATGGAAACAGTAGAAGCAAAATCCAATTTTAAAAGTTCCTGGAAATATTGAGTGCCCTTTTTTCCATCATAACATCTGAGGTAGCCTTTTCTTGCTGTATAGAGGCAACCTGAAAATTGTCTGAAGATGGCAAAGCTCTGCTGAACAAGGTCAGCTCCCACAAGAACTTCACTTGCCCTTGATTCTCACCCTCAACATGAGTCATGAACAGCAGTGGGCAGAGCTGTAACAACGTTGAATGCTTCCTGGATAAAATCCCTAGGTAATGACCCTTCCTAGGAGTGGGAATAAATTAATACTGCCTGGCTTTAATAAATGTGATGGAGAGCAGTGTAAGTATGGGCCAGGAGGCAAGCAGGAAGTGCTGCACTTCACTACCATGGGGTGTTTGTGCCTGTAGTGCTGCTGCTCAGCCCAGCCAGCTCTCAGGACCACACTGGCACAGCTTGGCTGCTCTTCCTACACCTTTGTGCCTACCCCCAGCAGCCTGCAGCAGGTGTCTCCTGTGAGCCACTTCTGCAGTGGTCCGTAAGTGGAGAGGGGAGAAGATACATCAGAAACCAATTGTTAGATGAGAAGACCTAGCTGCTACTTAGTACATTCATGGCTGTCCGGAATCACTGTCTATTTATTTAATTTTTTGTTTGTTTGTTTATTTTTAGTTTTTAAGAAGTCTGAGGTTTATTTTAGCAACACTTAAGAGACCTTCCCTTGTGATCAGAATGAAACCTCTCATTTTAAATATGATTTAAATATGGTTTCAGCATTTTATCTTGCTTACTTTTAACTCTGCTTGACCAAAGAGGACAGCTTGATGACTTCAAAAACCATTTTTCTCTGGATGAAACTGCAAAGAACCACCCTTAACTTTTTCTTTTATACCTAATTACAGCTACCTCCCTTTCTCTAGCATTTCCTGCTTTGTGTTTTGTAAACACTGCAGTGTCCCCTGCAGGCACTGCGGAAGGTAACTTTGAATTTGGCCCAGGTTTGTTGGGGTAGTTGGACCAACCTACCTCCAGAGGTCCTTCCAAACTGAATTATCATATGACTTTAGATTTCTTACCTGCTGAAAAATCACTGTTGCATCAGTTTTGCTTCAGCAGTTATTATCTCACCAGGATGATTATCCTCTTGTTCTTAACCTTGCACTTGCTCATTGACACAAATTTTAGTCAACAAGGTTAACTTAGGAAAAATATGTCAGTGTTTTCTCTGCTAATCAGCAAATAAGATCACTATGACTTTCCCAGCTAATTAGGATCCTTATGAATATTAATATGCATTCAATAATTAATGTCAAGCAGTTGTGTCACACTGAAACTTTCCTGCTTGTATTTTTGCAGAGCTTTTTAAAGACCATGAGAAGGACTCTCCAGCTGAGTGACAGAGACAACAACACAGTTCCCACTATTTAATAGGCTTTTTATTATATTGTGAACAAAAACTGTGTAAGAAAAATATTAAATACAGAACAGGCCATAGGTAATTTCACAGATACATACTACACTCAGGCTGATGCTGGCAGAACCAATGAATTTTTATATCTGCCAGATTTACTACTAAAATTAGTATAATTTGCATGTTTAAGTATCCCCCCCTAAAGTCGTTGCTGGATAGTTCTAAGGAGCTAAAAGGAGCAGATCTTCTCTGCAGCTTAATATAAGGGTTTCATGAATAAAAAGGCTAAGGAGCAAAACAGAACGGGAGGGTTTTGAAGTTATCTATGAAGGATGATTATCTATTTACAAGATTTTATTAATCTTGTATCAATTTTGTAATCAAAAAAATGACAGCTTTACAGTATTAGCTGCTTTCAAACCATTTGCATTTGGGGTTCTGATTCTGCAGTTGCTGAGTTGTAATTGTCCTCTTAAGAAGAAAAATAGGATGATGGTCAACAGCCCCTTCAAAGGATAGCCAGGGTTTCACCTTTTATGTAAATGCCCAAGGCAATTGTTTGGATGCCCAGGTAAGGAGGTAAGGCACCCAGAATGTGGGAAAATAAAATTCAAGTGCCATTACGCTGGAAACGGTGTTAGTCCAGAGCTCCTTCCTCTTTGCTATCACTCTATCCATCTGCTGCAGGATATTCTGGGAAGTTCTGCTTTGTATGGCACACTCAAATATTCAGTAGGACAAGGACATATGTCATACAATATGGTCATTAAAGCATTCAAGTAGTGGGTGCTTTACACAGCTCTTCCAGGTATTTAATCATTCTATGGAATACACAGTTTAGAACTTCTCCCCTGAACAGCTGGATGACTATAGCACTTACCTAGACAATTCCAATGTTCTGAGATAAAAACTGGAGGTGTTTTAGATCCAGGTGAATGCCTCTCTTCTGAGCTATTATGGATAAAAAAAGCAGACACCTCCATCCATGACTGTATAGAAATACATATCAACATATACATTGTATCAAATCCTGCAGATGAAATAGAAGGGGCAAAAAAAAAATTATCCCCTGAATCTGGGATTTCTGTCTAAATTCAAAGTATCTGGGTCCTGTAAAGATATAGATGTTAGTATCATCAGGTTATGGCAAAATCTAAGTAACTCTCGCTTATTTCTTCTTTAAAAAATGTATTTACTGATTTATTGCAACAAATACCACCTATATTTTGGTCAAAACCACCTAAAATGTCATAGAATCATTTGAATCCTTGTTTTGTAACTTCATTCTGTAATGCTTTAAAATTGTACAGATTTTAATACTAATAAGCCCAGAATACTCAGCAGTCCCTCTCAAAAGAGAAACTAGGAACCTCAAGGAAGAAGAATTCATGAATTAGGAAATACACGAAGGTAATTCTTGCACAACTCGGAAGTGCTGAAGTTTTCTTAAAAAACCTATGAACTAATATAGTTGAAGGATCCTTCTGAGTCTAGCTTCCAGGCAACTTAATTCCTTTCTCTTGTTAAACCAAGACATTCAAGGTGTGAAAAGCCCTAGTCTGAGTACTACCTTGCACAACTATGTCAAATCTGGGATCTAGAAGTACAACACTGAGTCAGATAATACATTTGCCTCTGATATCACATATCAGCATTGCAGCTCTGTAGTCATACTGTACCATTACTAAACTACTGTTTACTGCCTTGCAATTCTGTAAAAAAAAAACCCCAAACTTGTAAAAACACATATTAATTTTCCAAGAAACCTTAAGGTATGTCACAAACAATTAAAGACATTTCTTGGCTAGAGGATTTGGTACAGTATACAAACATACAGAGAGCAGAAAGAAGAGAGTGAAAACAAGAAACTCATCCCGTTAGCCAATTAGTATAGCATTGATAATTTACTCATTCCTACATTTTTCCTACTCATTTCCTACAATTTGAATTCCTGGGAAGTTTTGAGTGTAGCACAGTGATGTCTGGTGAATAGCTTTGGGAATAATATCGTAAGCACACCTTCTGCCAAATGGTATCAGCAGCAAGCGGGAGCTAAATTTAAATATCAAAGACATTTAAATTGACACACACATTGGCTGCTGGCCAGAGACCCAAGGAAAGCTGTGTTGTTGGGTTGGTTTTTTAATGAGTTCCTTTTTTGGATCTCAGGGAGCTTGGTAGCAAGCTGTCTGTCAGGATGTAGCACTATGGAGGCAGTGAGATGCGAAACCGATTTGTGGAAGATCAACAGTAGATAAGTATTTTAAAGGTAGTTGGATAGAGGTAATAATTACATACACATCAGCAGGAGAGGTCACCCAAGGACAGAAGGACTGAGGATGGGGGGGGAAGCAATACCTTTTGAGAAGGCTACACCTTGAGGTGGGAGAAAAAGCTTTCGGGAAAGATGCTTGAGGGAAAGTCTAGACTGAAACAAAAAGAGCATAGAGAAGTCCTTATGCCCAATGCTACAAGGTATCAAAGGACAGATATTTAATAGTGGTGTCAAGGGCAACAAATACATCGGAGAGGATGAGGATCATCCAAGATGTGCAGGCTCGCACCTTGGTTAGGAAGTAGACTTTCAGTGATGGTACAAGGAGGATGTCTGCGAAGAGGAGCCATCAGGAACAGACTGAAAGTGGTCTAAGACTCAGATCACAGCTATTTATTTCCTTATTGCCACCACTGTCACTTTGTTCATCTACTTTGCCTTTTGTAACAGTTGTAAACATCAAGAGCTGTAGAAACAAGTGTTCTGTTTCTATTAATTTGGACAGCACCAAAGTCAGATGTGCAGAGATGCACAATGGGCCAGGAAGATTTGATTTCCCAGGAAACAATAAATCAACAGGGTAACTGAAGGATTAATGCACTGAACAGAGGAATATGGAAGAAATGGCAGAGTCAGCAAAACAAGAATGGAAATAACAAAAGCTGTTGATTATCGTATTACATTGTGGTTAGTGGATCCAATTAACATTTGTTACCTTTGCTGTGTGTGTTTACGAAACCTGCAACTAGTACAGAAAGTTGCACATTAATTTAAAATAAATCAAGAAACACAGATAATATTGTCTATTGCTAAAGTCAAAGTTGTCACTTAGTAGCTTATCTTGATAAGGCCTTGCTGAAATGGAGTGGCATCTTCTCCACAGACATCAAGCTGAAGAAACCTCTCAGGAGCCACTTCCTTAAGCAGACCTTCTGCTGCCTTATTTTATTTAGTTTGCATATAATTTTCTAAGCACTTCTTAATTTATTAACATATTTTTAAGTACATTAGGGTATAGCTAATACTGGCTATGCAAATTTGGTAAATCAAAGTACAACCCACAGCTCATCTACAATACATTTTGAATTTGCATTGTGTTTTTCAGGCCATCCTTTCCCTGCTTGCATTCTGCAAAGCAAAATTCACCTGTAGGGAAGGACAGAGGGTGAAAAGATTTCCAGGGACTCCTTCTGTACCTTTCAACAAGGTGCAGTAGATCTTATTTCCAAGTCTCTCCTTCCTTGGGGGCAGCATTTCAAGAAACCCCAGCAAGTATCAAACTGTGCAGACAGGAATGGTCAGACAAGGGTCCCTACCAAGGTCTCAGAGACCTTGAGCTTCACCTGGCTTAATTCTCAGTACTCTCTGCTGCAAAATGGGTATAATTATACCCATCTTCCATGCAAAACTGTTATGTTTCCATTAGCTAAGATGTGCTAAATGTGTGGAAGAAACTTGGCTCATGTAAAATGATTAAAAGAGAGCACAAAGGCAGTAGAAGTTCTCAACAGGAGTGTTCAGAACGAGGAGCTATGCTCAGATTAAATAGGTGATATTTGTTTAAAAGGATATCGGTGCTATGAAATACTGACACCCCATCTTCTCCTTACAGGAGCTTGTGCAGAACATTCAGGATGCAGGGATGAGCCAGCAGGTGGCTGTAGATGGCAGCGGCTGCCTGGAATGGGGCAGGTCCCAGGATGCCAGAGGAAACCCGGGGTAGGCTCACCAGGTACCTTTACAAGCAGTTTTTCGGCAGTGTCCGGTCCTTAGTTATTCATGCCCCAAATAGGCTCAGCCAAAATCAATTTCCCCCGTGTTTTGAAGTCAAACCATTCACACTAGGGAATTTCTACTTCAGAAGTGCCTAGTACTGAATAAATGGTTGCTTTGTACTACATAAAAAAAGTAGTGGAAAATCATAAATATATTTATCAAAGCATTTCCCAAATCAACAAGCCAGTATACCTCAATTCTGAACTCACCCGAACACGTTCACTTACACCACTCCTTGATACTTTAATTTTGTCAGGCTCTTTATCAGAAATTTGGATCCTGCAGCCTATCAACTACACTCATCTCATTCATTATGGCAAGTGGGACTTCAAGGAGAAGGGAAGTGGCTTGCAAAATATTCTCTCTAGTCTCAGCAAGAGGGTATAAAAAGGCAGGAATATTTCAGATTTTTATTGGAAAGAGATTGGGAAAGATTTTGTATTTGTCTTCCTGCTGGACTCCCATATTGTGCAATTTCAAAACACAGTGCTTTTGGGGGGATCTGTCTGTCAGAACGTTCCCATGTCAAAGGATGAAGAAATCACCAGGGCCGGTGGAGGCATTCGAGAAGGGAACAGTCTGGAGCCTATGGTAGCTTCACAAACCAGCTCTAAACCAAGAGAATTACACAAGCATTGCACAAGGGAGGCTTCACTGGAAGTGTTGCCTCTGGCTCGCATTCCTTTTAAGCTGTTATAAAATTTTAAATATAATTAATAAATAACCAGGCCTCTCAAGCAGAGATGAGTCCAAAGCTCTGCCCCCTGCGTGAACCGAGGTTGTTATTTCAGCTCTGGATACGCGAGTCCAGCGCTGCTCCCGGCTGCGGGGCCGCCTGCTGAGGTCAGCCAGACTGGCCCGGCTGCATCGCCGCTGCCAAGGAAACAAACCCGGCGGCTTCAAAAGGTGGGGCAGGCTAAATCACAGCCCTCCTTTCAGGGCAGGATGGAGGCAGGTCCTTCAAGCCGCCGTTCGGATGGAAGGCGAGGAAGGTTATCGGGGGGTTTCCTGCTCCTCCTCCCCTTCCCGTGCAGTATCAGCAGTGGCCTGAGCATCTCCGCTCACAGGGCTGGGAGCTCAGGACTGCGTCTGCTGCCTTCATTGCGGCGCTCCTTCAGGCAGGAGGGGCAGGGTGCAGGAGAGGCCAAGGAGTCGCTGGATTGAAGAAAGAAATCTCTGCCTTTTAGCTGCCTGACGGGAAGGAATCTTCACCTCTCCCACCGTGTCCTCACCGCAATTTTCTAAGGGAAAACTCTGACAGTAGTCCTGTCCCTCTTTCTTTTGTTTATCAGCCTTTGCAGAGCTATTGATTAGATCTGGAATTAAAACATTCTCAAATTCTTGAAGTATGTAAAGACAAGTTTTTAGACCTTGATGTTACACTTCATTATTTTTATCCACTCACAGTAATTTCTAAACCATTACAAATCTGTTCTCTGAGACACCAGTTGCAATTAATGTATTGGTATCACCTGTGTTATGGGAAGGGCCTTTGTGCCACAGCCACTGCTGGGAAACATTAATATCAAATTTAGGAACTACTTTTCTAATGTAACAGCTGTTTAATGGGAGTGTCTGGGCTAAAGAAGTAAAAGAGGTATGACTAGACAAACACATGAGAGTCAATGTAGACTATTGCTAATCAGAAATACTAATAATTACACTTCATTGATTTCAGCTGGGGTTTCAATGGAGTTTTTATGTTTCTAAAAATCTGATCACTTTTATCTAAGGGTATAAAAAAATTAGTGCAGCTTCTGACAGCTTTGAAAATGTTAGCTGTTGTTGCTGGTCTTGATTTCTAGAGCTGAGAAAATCTCTATGCATGTCAAATTCCACACAGAAGTTTAAAAATTGAATACCATCATCTCATGCTTTATACTGTAGTATTTTTCCTAGTAGGTGCAAATTCAATGCATGAAACAAAATAAGCACTGAGTACCAAATACTCAGCAGCCAGATGCTTGTAGGTAGAGATTAAGAACAGGAATATTACTGCAGCTTTATAAAATGTTCAGCTACTGTGAAGCAGTAATTAATATCAGCTCTTGTTTAGACTTTTAAATTAATGATGCATGACAAATTGCAGCTCAAAATTGACCTAAAGAGGGCATTAAAATTCACCATAAAATATTTTCCAGGGTTGTCACAGAAGATAAAGCCCAGAGTACATTAGATGGCTAATTTGTCCTCTGGTTGATGATCCACGATTTCAAGACTAACTCTTGTAGCAATATATTATTACAATAAATCAATTTAATATTTTACCATGTGTAAAATGGTGAAAAACACCTTATAATCTGCTAAGGACTTACTCACAAACTCTGGCTTTGAGTTTGGACACATGAGTATACTAAAAGAATCCATGCATTTTCAGATTTTTTCTAAGAATAAAATACAGTAAAAGTAAAGAGTATTACATAAAGAGGAGTTGGGATCAACAAGCAGGTTTATGCCAAGGATGATGGTATATTCAGGTAATGCATTTACATATAAGACAATAGGCTGGTTGGTTGCTGCAGATTTCCCTTCTCTTCAAGTGTCATTTGTGACTCATATCCTGGGACATACAAGGAGAACTGAGACAGAGGCTGGAAAAGGGACAAAGACAGAAAGCTGGTTTAGGAGCTTCATGTACTTCTTGCAATTTTAAAAGTATTGTTTTATCAAAAATAGAGCACTTAAAAAAAATTTGCTGTGTATCTATGTCCTATGGATGATATGCAATTGCCTTCTCTGTTATTCTCTCTATTTAATAAGCAGCTCTGTGAAGTTTGGATGACTCCAGGTTTTGTAACATGGTTGATAATCCCTATTGCATTATTGTGCCCAGGAAAAATGAAAAGATTCAGGAAGGAAGGAAGGAAGGACACAATGTACTTTAGGGGAGACAGGAAATGGTTGACCCTTTCTCCATGTGTGTTAGCAAGTCCTTGCTGTATTACCCTGAGAACACTTAAGCTACAAGACAAGCTGTATGATCTCTGGGAGATTTCTCCTAGCCATATTTCCAAAAGTGGTAGTTGTCATAGGAGGAAAAGGATGTTATAGGTGTTCACTGAGCACAACGGGATGAGGCCCTTCAGGCAATTTGGGTAGGGGATGACCTGGCTGTGGAGCTTGACTGGTGCTTCTGAGCAGGCCTAAAAGCAGACTTGTAGGTTGCTGGAAAAATTTATGCGGGAAAGTTTAGATCTCTACAGACATCATGTAATGCTATGTGAAATTTTTGAGATTTGCATATTTTAAAGTGAATACCTAAACACCACCGAAGCTTAACCTCAGTCATTCATGGCCCTTCACAGATCCAACCCAGTGGGCTCAGAGAGTTATAGAGGAAAGATCATAAACCAAGTAAATTTCAACATTTGTAATAAAAAGATACTGTGTATGTCAAAGTATGTCAAGAAACTCAATCTTTCCAATTCTGGATCAGTTCCCTCACATTATCACAACTGATTTTATTTGGGCTTACAAAAGGCAGGAGACTAAAGTGGACTTTTATACATTTTCATCTACCAAACTATCAGCTTCTGTTTAAAATATCCATTATAGAGAAAGGAGGAAGAGATTTTCTTAGAGAGATGGAAAATAAATAAAACTAATTCTTCCAATACTTCCTAAAAATTATTTGTATAGAAGAAGACAAGATATATATTTTGTGCTTCTAAAAAACAGCAAAACATAATCCTGATAATTATTTTTAAGGGGTTATACGCTGAAAAGTGACTGTAAAAAATTTAAGGTATAGTTCTTTTTTTTTTCCCACGTATTATTTGAACATCATAAAACACTGTTCTCCCATGTGTTCTGGATGTCTGACCTGGTGATATGGAGGGTGTTGCATTTCAGTGCACAAATTCCCATTACAGTATTGTAATAATTTGAAAGAGCACTTAAGGTGGTTTTGGCTGGGATAGAG